AACCGAAATGAATGAAATATGAAATTTTATTGTTCAGTTCATGTGTTATCAAAAAGAGACAGATGTCCAAGTATCTCCAATCCAACAATAAATGATAAAGGTCTCAAAAAGTATGCGTGCAAAGTGTCACTCGAATGGTACAACAATTGAGAAAGTCATTTGAACTGACGCAGATAGATGGACACTCCTAAATCAACACAGACCGTTGAACTGATCGAAAGTGGGATCTTTATATGATCTATGACGTCTCCTTCAATACGTTGTAAAAATATTGATAAATCTAAAATACTACTTTACACTTTTTTGTAAATGGGGTATAAAAATTACTTACTTACTTACTTACTTACTAACAATATATCACAGAAATTAATTTCATTGTTGTCACTATTAATTTTTGTGTTGAATTTATTATTTAAATTTTTTTTGGCAACTATCTGCTGGCAAAATTGCCAAACATTATTATATTCTACATTTATTGCTTACAAAATGATGCTGCTACATTCTCCTTATAATAAGGTATGTCCAAGTAGTTATGGTGCGATGCAGTTGCATCTATATATCAATCTTAGCATCTATATATAACAAAACTTTTATAAAAGCTGCCGTGACGTGATAACACGTACATGGCCTAAAACCTAATGGTTATAAGAATCGCATATCGTACCATAGTATACTGTATCGAGAATATAGCTTAATGCTGAGGCGCTTTGATGAGCATTGAAAATAAAATTATATGCATTTTCTGATGTTTATCATCTTATTTATTTGCTTTGAAACTAAATAAGTTTTCCATATTTTAATTGAAATATTTTATTTAATATTCAACTATGAAACGCAAAATGGAACAACAAAATAACTCGATTTTACTAATAAATTTTTATATAAAATAAATTTTGCGCTTTCAAGTTTTGATTAAATGAAAATAATTTATTGTAACACAATAGGAGAATAATTTCATTGTCACCAACAGTTCCATAATATTTCAGAGCTTTTGTTTTATTAATCCTACAACGCTGATAAGGCCGCAAAATTACATCAAAATTACACCATAATATTGCACAAAATATAAAGTTATCCGCTTAAGTCTTTCACAAAATTTTAATAAGTATGGCAATTTGTTGTCACAAAAGATTTAACAAGATAAGTAAAAATTAGTAACCTTCAGGAACATTCAGGAACGTTACGTCGTTGGACTCCAATAAAACAAAATTATTTTAAGCTATAAATTTTTAAGATCTATATAAATGTTCATTACATGTAACAATAGACAAAAGCCGCAAAATATTTCTGGAATAAGGTTTCCCTTAGATACGTACAGCGGGATATTAGTTTACTTATTTAATTTAAAATATTAATTTTTGTTAGAAGTGAGTTCAGATGTTATATAGCGAATTAAACACAGAAAATTTAGGCCAGCTATGTTTGTCTGCTAGAAAAATGGACGAATGAAGGGAATTTGTGTGAAATATTTATGAATATACTAAGTTCAAGATTTATTTTGTAAATTGAGAACATACCATAATAAATAAGTAAACACTAAAAGAATTTAATTTATATTGAATATTGAATATAAATAATGTGGACTCAGATTTTATATTCGTAGTCGCATTGAAATAATTACAATATTGATTACTAATTATTAGTAATTGTGACTAACTGCTTCTAAGTATTACTAAATATTACTAAATATAACTAATTATTACTAACTATCTCCGATTATTACTAATTATTACTAATTATTCCCAATTATTACAAATTATTACTAATTTTTATGTAAATTTTATTAACTTTAATAAAAACAATAAAAAATTCAAAGTTATAGACAGTTCTGGCTCTGAGAAGGCAACTTAATAGTAACTTGTATTAATTTATATATGAATAGATAATAGATTATAAGAAATTTGTATAGTTAGTACTTCTTCAAATCCGCTTATTGCAGTATTCTAATCTAATTATATTTCATTCAAAATTGGGAAAACATATATTATATATGATTTATTTAACTTATAATATATATTCTTGGTTATTTATATATTTGGTGTTCTACTTTGTTAATAAGTAAGATATTATTTAATATTGCATCATGTTATGTTAGCTTTGGATTGTCCAATTTCATCGTAATTACCAGCTTATATGCGTTACAATGATACTTATTTTTTAGATATGGATTACTGGATGCGTAGTTTATTTATAGTTTCACTTAATATTTTTTAATATTATCTTTCGTTACAGTATGTTATTCTAGAATATTGTGTTTATAGAGAGAGTCATAACAAAATTTCACAATTTCGTTATCTTTTTTTAATTTTTCAAGAGAAAAAATCTTCGAAAGATCTATGGTCCCTTCGCGGTAACAACAAGTATTGAATGAGATGGAACGATGACCTCTATGAGCTATACCGCGAAATTGACATAGTAAATTATATAAAAATTTAGCGACTTTGCCGACTTTGTTATGTCGTGACAATGGAAGAAAGAGTTTTGCCTAGAAAGGTCTTTCATTCCTCATCCTCAGGTGGAAAATGCGGTAGAGGACGGTAGGGGACTCGTATTATCAACTCGGTACTATCAACTGGCGACAGTAAGTCAGTAAGATCGGGTCTGTAATGACTTAGTAAATAAATACTAATATTTTGGTACTTTTTGATTGTTCGTAAATATCAAACAAGACAACTTTTGGGTAAATGTATTTACATATACACAAAGACACATAGTCTAGTAAAAATTACTAACAAACGCTCTCTTTATGGCAATCAATTGTATAATATAATTTCTATTTTTAGTGTTAATTTAAAAGGCGTACTGAACTTGTAATTACATAATATTGTCAATCTTGGTTAACCAAATGTAGTTCAATCCTTGTTTATTTGTGTGGGTAAATTCTCAAATAGATCCCGCTCGGTAACCTTATTCAGGGTATTAGTAAAATACACAATATTCTTCTAAAGTATAAGTCTATTAAAGTTGAATTGCAAAGCGAATATAGTGGACTGCTGATCATCTATATAGGTTTCAATTAATTCATTTCTTGAATATCACTTCTCTGTTCTCGTTATTATATTTTCGTAAGTGTAGCTGGTAATTCTGAAACTATAAAATCACTCATATATAAACCATTTAGTATTAACTTCAAGAAATCATTGTACAGACCTTTTCAAATACTTTGTACCCCAATTTTCTTAAAATACATAGATCAACTGTTTAAGTCAAAATGCTTTCATAACACTATCACAGAACCTTTTGTTAATGTAGGATTCATTAGATGTTCATATACCAGCGATGCTTTTGATAAATATTCCAGTGAAATGCTCAACGTTCATTTTCGAGGAAAGTGTTTAAACTCGATGTTGAAGTCCCCGATAAATTATATATTCTCTTTTTCATTTGCTGTAGTTGGTTATATTTACCCATTTCCAAGACATCTTTTATTTGTTCAAAAATCGCTTTTTTGGCAAGGCTGTCTATTAATGGATTGGTTTGAGGATTTCGATTTTCTTGCAACGTGCTGGGGGTGTAGATAATGTTCTCCGACAAATAGTAATGCATATGGACCATATTAAAATAATGAGATTGAACTCTTACTATAATTGTTATGAACATGAAGCACATAAACAAAAATATAGACTTTATAGTGTCGGGATCCATTTCGAATTTTGAATTTTGGGGTAATGAAAAGTCAAAACGACATGTGATAAATTACTTTTATATTTAAA